CTTCTCCTTCTCCTTCTCCTTCTCCTTCTCCTTCTCCTTCTCCTTCTCCTTCTCCTTCTCCTTCTCCTTCTCCTTCTCCTTCTCCTTCTCCTTCTCCTTCTCCTTCTCCTTCTCCTTCTCCTTCTCCTTCTCCTTCTCCTTCTCCTTCTCCTTCTCCTTCTCCTTCTCCTTCTCCTTCTCCTTCTCCTTCTCCTTCTCCTTCTTCTCTTCCTCTTCTCTTCCTCTTCTCAGTGTTCTTTTTGGCAATTGTAGCCATAAGGCAGCAGAGGAAGAAGTCTCCCTTTTCGGAGAAAATGGAAGAATTCAGAGAGAACATTGTCAGGTATGATGATGAAGGAGGTGGTGAGGAGGACACAGAAGCCTTTGATATTTCAGCACTGAGGACCCGCACTGTCATGCGAACGCACAAACCTCGGAAGAAGGTCACCGCAGAAATCCACAGCCTCTACAGACAGTCTCTGCAGGTTGGCCCTGACAGTGCAATCTTCAGGCAATTCATTTCAGAAAAGCTTGAAGAAGCAAATACAGATCCTAGTGCTCCTCCATATGACTCACTTCAGACCTATGCTTTTGAGGGGACTGACTCTTTGGCAGGATCCCTCAGCTCTTTAGGTTCACACATGTCAGACGTGGATCAGAGTTATGACTATCTCACAGACTGGGGACCTCACTTTAAACAGCTTGCGGGCATGTACACTTCCCATAGAAGTGTGGGGGATTAGTTACTCTTTGGTTTGTTGTTTTATCTTCCTAAATCTCAGCAACCAAAAACAACTGTGGATTTTTAAAAAGGAGATTATCCCACATTTAAGAATGAAAAATAAAAGCCCAATGATTTTTTTCTGGAAAGTCTTAGATGTAGGGATCTTTTGAAAAATCACACCAGGCGTGTCATGAGGTGAGGGGATGGAAACTCCCGTTTGAAATTCTCATGGCTATTATGTGCTCGAATGTAAACTGTGCTGCTTTGGATATCTAGGCCCCCTTCTGGATACTGAAAACCTGGGTCCTGCAAGTACAAAAGGAGGATTAGAAGCCATAAATGGATATTGTAAATATTCTGTCATCCATAAGCTTTAAACTGTTTCCAAAGTTAAGACAGACTTTTGCTGTTGTAGTTGAATATATTAATTAACCAAAGTCAAACATGCATATTTGTATAACACTTCATTATATAAATATACTTGTGTGAAAAGGTAGACCCTAGATATTCTGATACAATTGTCAGAAATGCTCACAGAATCTTCTATTTATTTTTCTTAGGATGATAAAACTAAAACAAATGTCTCTTCCTATCAGTGTAAAAATAAAGACCTATTACAACATCAGCAAGTATTTGCTGCCATTTTGGTTTTTAATGGAGCTATTGGAAAATGTATAAACCAATACTTAATTTAGCAAATAAGATAGAAAAAAGAAATCAGTTCAAGTTAGAATCAATATTCAACGTAAATACTGCGATCGACCACATTATATATCACTATACTTAGAACATAATGCTATACAAATACAGGCATATTTTCTTTTATTAAGAGTTTAAAGGATGACTGATTTACCGGCACAGATTTTTTTTTATATTATGGAATATAAAATTATCTGCAGTAGTCAGTTTTATTATAACAATATTAAGAATCTTTAAAATCCTAAGCTGGTGGTTATAAAACTTTATGTATAACATTAGATAATAAGATAATAAAATGCTTTAATGTTAATCCACTTCTGCAAATGATCCCAAATCATTCTGTGAGACTCAAGTCAGACTTCAAAATTAATTTCCCACTGTATTTTTTCCAAATATTCCATAATGAATATAAAGCTGTCTCAGAATATTTCTTTACTTTTACTTATACCACTACCCAGCAGCAATTTTGGATCTGAGGGTCATCAAATATGTTGAAAATGGTCTGTCTGGAAAAAGCATCCTGCTTGGTTTTTATTCATCTCTTTTCCATCAGTTACTTAATTTACAGAAATTACATCATGTAATCAACTGATACATTTCCATGGCTAAAAGCTGACATCAAGATAAAGAAAATAATGCAACACATTTCTCCCCCACCCCACTTTTTTTTTAATAAGATTTTAGGTAAGCGCTACAGAATTAGAGAGAGACAGGCAAAGCTTATGCAAGGAAAAAAACAACCAAATAAACAAAACAATAAAAAAGCAAGGGCATGTAACATACAAGCTCTGCAATATTTACTACAACTGCTCTTCACTGAAGAAAACCAAGCCATGTAGGCTCAGGAGAAAGGTGCCAGTGCAGGGTTTAAATTCTCATCAGCTAAAAATAAAACATGTGGAGGAGTTTGAAAACCAGGAGGGATTTCCAGTGTGAGGTCTGGTAAGGGCAGAAACATTATTCGTGATATGCATAGCTGAAAAAATATAGGGGGAGGTCATCCAGCCAGGTGCAGATGAAGGAGCATCTGCTTTGTAAGGAAAAACTGGTTCTTGCCAGTCTGAATGAGCAACTACAAAACAGCTTTAAAAGATGCAAAAGTAAAAACACTGTATTAATGACTCTAACATTTGTGGTCAATGGCTCTCAAACAGATGTGACAAAATAACTTTTATTTGAGATAATATTGTATATATTAGTAATTTTCTCCACGGAGAGAAACAGAGAGAACAAATATACATGCACCGTTTGTTGGAGATGGTGAAAAATACATTTCTAGGATTAGGTCTATAGATTTATGTGGGTTATACCCTAAACAAATCCTTATTCCACAGATGGTCCCAGTGGCATTAATAGAATTCCTCGTGCTTTCAGGTTGTATTTAGTACAAAAAATATAACAGTGTCTGATCCTTTCTCAATCCAGAGATTTTGTCCGTTTATGTCAGGAAATAGCCTTGAACACCCAACCATATTTGCACTTATATTATAATTTCCTCTTTTTACTGTAATAACAGTATTTTACAAATAATTTTTGTAACCAGTGTATACCACTGTCATATAATTTTTGTAACCAATGTATGGCATTGTCAGTAACTTCTATATGAAAGAGAATAATGGCCTACAATGGATATTAAATGATCTTTAGCTGAAAAAGCCTAAGACTCTGTTTGCACAGCAGACAAAGCGAGTCTTCAGCTCCAAAGTAAGAAGTTATTCCTAGCTGTTACTGGGCCACATCTTATTAGGCTCCTGGTATTCAATGTAAGTCAAACCTGTCAATTTATTTCCACATGTGAGAAAAGAATCACTGAACTGACCTAGTAACTTCACGCTTCTTCTAATATACTGTACTTAATTTAGCTGAACAATGTCTGCAAAAAGGTTTTGTAGAAGTGTCTGCTTATTTGAAGGAAGTAAACACTCTGAGGAAACCAAAATTAAACCCATAAGAGATATCACAGTAATTAATAGTATGAAATTAATAAAGGATAAATTATAAGCCAGAGTTCTATTAAGAGATTATGATTTCTATGATTATGAGATTATGAGATCTATTAAACTGTGGAATGTTTTTCCCAAAAGAATCCTCCATTACCTTTATTTTCTAAAATTCGTTAGTAGCTAGAATTAGCTATGCTATTTGCTGAAGGGAAGAGTGCAAGTATGGTACCAGACAGTAAATATATATTCAGCTGTTCATGACCTGCCTGAGAGAATATAAGGAAGACTTATTGACTGGTCAAAGGAAGTATCATCATACACACTGCTTTTCTGTATGAATGCTTTGAAGAGATGTTCTTGTATATTTTTTTTTCTGTAACACGATAATGAGACAGGTTAAGAACTGGTGCAATGCCTGACAAAGGTTGTCTTCCTGTTTCAGTCCTCACTCATAGGGATTCAGAGTGTTGTGTTATTGGTTTTATTATTTAAAAGCCAGGGAAATGAAGACTATGCATAGATTAATAAATGCTTAACATTCAGACATTTGAAGTTAAAGAACAAAAGAACAAAATCACTTGAAGGCACATTGCAGTTGTGCAGTTGTGCAGTTGTGACCGGAAAAGGGTTTTTTCTTTATTGATTCACCCAAAATAAAATGTTTTCATTTTATTTTCATTTTGCGTATCACTATGTAGGGTTTTTATTATCACAACACTGAGAAGCAATCCTGCTTGCCACTGAACATAATCTTAGTCTTTAATTCACATAATTTTCCTACTGCATTTTCTCACAGATACTGTCATTACACTCCTAGATTTGCTTTCAAAATTTGCATTGGAAATGTGGTTGTTTTAACACTCATTCTTAACTGTATGGGGTAACCCTGTCAGATGAGACTAAAATATTTTTGAAAAGACAGTGTGCATTTTATGCTTCAAAGTCAGATCTAATATATGCTCTCTGAGGAGCAGAAGTTGAAGGAGATTATGTGATTTTACATTCTGGCAAAGAATACATTTTACCCTTGATCCAGAATATGAACAAAAAGAATAGAAGTTGTATTAAAAAAATCAGTAGCTGTTAGTAAAGTCTGTAAGATTTCTCTACCAGAAATTTGGTAAACCTATATTTTATAAAGAAAAAAAAGAGTGGAATAATGTTTATAAAGAAAGTTGACATATTTTTCAACAGTAATTTAGATGGTCTTGTATTTATTCAGAAAAAAGAAAAATTTTTCATATATGGGTCTGTATCAGCCTTATGTCTCATACACAGACTATGAGGAACAGTAAGATTTAACTACAGTGCACGGGATAAAACATACTTACAGAGAGACTGCTTAGATCAATATGAAACACATTACCCACAGCAAACAGATAATAGCAATAGTCAGAAATATGCATAAGATTCAAGAGGATATATGCCAACAAAGGCGGTTAGATATATGGCACTAAGAGCAAATATTAATAAGTACAATTAGAAACCACCACTACTTCACAAAACTTTCCAATAGCAGAAACCAGAACAGGATATCAATGGCTCTTAATTCCCCAAACATTTTAATTGTCATTTAGGTATAGCTTTAGTAATACTGAAGTTTATGATTTAAACAATACTCCACATGTGGAGGCACAAATATAATTGGTTTGTAAAGAAACAATAACATCTGCATACATATATCTGACCAAAAGGATACAACAGAAGTTATTGGATTAAAGCTTAAAAGGATGCAAATGTACCCATAGATATAAGTGCATCCCTTCTGACATCATTGTGTGCAAATTAATCTCTGTCATCATGAATTTCTGTGAAAAGAGACTTGACAAAGGGCATCTTGGATAACTGTTTTAGTAGCTTAGGAGTGGGAACAAGAATTTTTTATATACTTATTCTGTATGTTGGACTTACAAATGTCAAAAATATCCCCTGTTATTAATAGTGAAGATACCAGGTATATAAGCAAGAACTGGATCACCTTGAAGACTGGAGAACAGAAAATGGATAAAATGTAATGGCAAAAATAAAGATTCTCCACTCTGGAAATAGTTCTTAAAAAAAAAAATCTGTTATTATATTGGGTACTTATCCAGCAGAGTAATTAAACAGGTCAAGGATATTCTAGCTGCTAAAATAACTATGAACAGCCAACAAGATTCGGCCCAGAAAAATGAAAAAAAAATCAAATATGAACTAAAGCTGTACTAGAAAATATACTAGGCAAAAGAAAATGATGAGCATGAAATTAGATTGAGATTAGACTACCTGTTTAGTTACTTCACAGCTCATTCTCTTTTGTGTGACCAGCCACACTAAAATTGTTTCAGTCACATGTTCATTTAAACAGTAATCCAAAGGTAGTTCCAATATTAATTAT